AAAAAAAAAAAAAAATCAAGGTGACAGTAAGACACTTGTATAAAAGCACTCTTCTTTTAAAACCAGTGTATTATTTGAGCTGTAACGGTGTTATAATTTTTTGTTGTTTTAGGGTTTTAAGGTTTATGTTGTTGCGTTGTCATGCTGCCAAAGTTGTAAAAATGGATATAATTTTACACTTTTAAAATGTTAATAAGAAAAATGCACATTGTTTATGTTTTGTGGCTGTTGAAACAGAGAGTATTTTAATGTTAATGGAGGTTTAGGAACAAATAAAAATTCATCTTTGTGGTAGTCACCTTTATGCTACAAATACTGTCAGTTGAGCTTAACTTGTACTGCACCCAGAAATTTTAATTGTGATCATATCTCTCTCTTTTTGATTTTCTTTCCATATCTTTTTCTCTCTATTTTCCCCATCTCTCACAGGATTATCGAGGCAGTATGCATTGGCTGGTTCACTGCTGAATGCATAGTGCGCTTCATTGTCTCACGGGACAAATGTGAGTTTGTGCGCCGCCCCCTTAACATTATTGACCTCTTGGCGATCACGCCTTACTACGTGTCTGCTGCTGTGACAGCGCTGACAGGAGAAAACCCTCAACTACAGCGAGCAGGAGTCACCCTGCGCGTACTACGAATTATGCGCATCTTTTGGCTTATAAAGCTGGCGCGTCACTTCCTCGGGCTGCAGACGCTCGGGCTTACGCTGCGCAGGTGTTACCGTGAGATGGTCATGCTGCTGGTGTTTGTCTGCGTCGCAATGGCGATATTCAGCGCCCTGGCACAGCTGTTGGAGCACGGCCTTGACCTGGAGACTAGCAATGAGGACTACGCCAGCATCCCGGCAGCCTGTTGGTGGGTTATTATCTCCATGACGACTGTCGGCTATGGAGACATGTACCCCATCACCATTCCGGGACGCGTGCTGGGTGGCGTGTGCGTCGTGAGTGGCATTGTGCTGCTGGCTCTGCCTATTACCTTTATCTACCACAGCTTTGTGCAGTGCTACCACGAACTCAAATTCCGCTCAGCACGCTGCGTGCGAAGTCTCTCTTCTGAGTTTCTCAACTAACTGTAGCATAGATCGTCCGGAGAACCTGCTGGTCTTCAGCTTAGTAATATCACCTGCTCTTCTGTGCCTTTATATTGAACCAAGATCTGAAATAGCGAAGGAACATGCTACTTCTGATGTGGAAAAATCAGCATTTAGACTCTCTGTGTGAACCTATTATATCCAAATAAAAACACAAGTACCTCTGTACTCAAGGACACATTCTGGGATTCATTCTGGAATAGGACAAAAGAGGCAAATCCCCAGCCCAAAGCTGGAAAGTGCACAATAAAGCATTACGATCCAAAGGAAATGCATTAGCCAGTGTTTATGTTGTAACCCCCTTCTTGTGTGAACGAACAAAAGCGATCCAACAGCATTTCCTGTGTATGAAATGGACAACTGTGGCATTTGACAACTACAGATGGCCAGGCTGCCTGGAATGGGCATCTGGCGGGACCTTGTGTCCTGACAGTGCTCCAGCCTAGAAGGAGCTTACACGAATTCTCGTGTTTCCATGGAGAGGTCCCTCCGACTTGCTAAATCATTAATTCAGCTCCCAGTAAAGTGGCAAAGCAAGGGGAACTAAAGTAAAAGGTTTTAGTGGCCAAATAGAAGCGTTTGAGAATGAAACGAAGCAAATACTGTGAAAAGGCCTGCTCACACCAAGGACAGTAACTTATAATGATAACAATAAAGATACAAATAAGTCCCCCTGCAGTCACTAATTTGACCCCTTTTGTTCCTTAAAACCTTTTATAAGCAAAATTACATATTTAAATGTTTTTTTTTATTAAAATATTTTTGTCTTAAAATGACTTGAATATAACTCTAAACCCTTACCTCATTTAGTATATACAATATGCAAATTAGCCCCGCCTCTATTCAGTCACATCAGCTCAGACTACCTGCTACACTTCCAATGGGTTAACCGAAGTAGTAAATGCTACAAAATGGCAAGTGGCAAAATTGCATTAATTTAGCCATATACTGTATGTTTTAACCATGATTTTAGCCATAATCATGATACATTTTATGTATCGCTCTCTACAATGTCGGACACTTAACTGTAATTGATATCCTTAGCGTTTGGTCTAAATACATTATCAATGTTACACAAACCATGTTCCTTGTTCTCAGACAGATAATATTATGAAAAGCCCCTACACGGGATCGGCTACATGTTAGTGCCATTAGGAAATGGGCTGTTTCAAACTGCATTTTTGAGACTGTCTTTGGTACAGTTTTAAGGACAAAGTGCAAATCTTTAAGCAGACAGACACTAGACAGACATGTAAACAACATTAAAACCTTGATTTTCACCACAGCGGGTCTTTATATAGTCATTCTACATATAAAAGAATAGCAGAGTCCATACCACAACTATACTGATAATGGCACAAAGGAACAATACAGTTTACAGTTACAACAACTAAAAACATTGACAGCCAATCAGAATCCAACCCGCTTTAAAGAGCTTGAGCATTTAAAGTGGCACATGACAGAACTTCAGCGCAAGCTTATAATAAACAGAATGATATCGTGCATTGTGTAGATGCTAATATAGTTATCGTTATCGTTATTATAGTTATCTTTATAGTTACAGTTCTTGGTTTGAACGGGCCTAAACACTTATCGTTTCGACATTACAGTCACTGTCGAGTCTTACTCATAGATTGGTAGTTAACATTACTAAGTCACAAAAAACAAACATCAGCTGTTCATCCAGACAGCGACAAATCTGCAACCTGTCCATACACGACTGTGTGAATCAAGAGGCGTTAACTAAATTGACTAGCAAACACCTCACCCCCACGCTCACCAGTAGGAGGGCTGTCACTAGCTTCCTTCTTCCTCTTTGAATACAAGCACAAAATCAGACCTTTTTTCCTTATTCAAGGGACTTTCTGAGTTTATGTGTCTCTTGGAATGAAAAGATGGATTTTGCATTGTATTTAGTAGGATATGGAACATGAAAGGATTCATTGGGGGACGTAGGCCTATAGTACATTTTATAATAGTATTTCATGATAAAGAAGCATCATTAAGAACACTTTGAAAATATATTGACTTAAGGTTATATAATCAACAGATGTTTTCGCTAAATTGAAAATAATGTGATAGTCAAGATAGAGTGCATTGTTTTATTCAATTTATCTTCTAATTACATAATTTGTCTTTAGTCTAAATCAGTGATGGGCAAACTTGGCCCTTCCAGGCCACTTTC